AAACACTGGCTCACTAGGTTATGGAGATCTTCCAAATGTTGACCCATTTCATTAAATATTATCAAAAAATCACTTTTGTTAGTATTGCCGCTCATCTCAAAAAAGTCTTTGCATATTGGGAAACTGCCAATGTCACAGTAGCAAATACAAGCTTTTCAAAATTCTAATTTTCACTTGAAAGCTCAAATTTTAGGACTTGTCATAAATACTGCCAATTGTTTTCCTTAACATGACAAGAAAGTCTGCCAAATTGCCAAGACTAAATAGCTATCGTTTGGCTGTCAGTCAATCTTCCAGGTAAAAATGGGTGTTCCACCAAAAAAGCTGCTGGTTCAGCTCAAACAAATCGAAGAAGAGCTTTCTGTCAATTCAATCACAGCACTTTGGTATGCAGTAAGAATACTTTCAATTTCCATTCCACAGAATATTAAAAAGGCATGTACTCAGAGGCATCAGATTTAATGGGATTAATTTTACTGCTTTGTCAAAGACATCCCTAAATGGAACTGCAATCTTCTTTAGTGAGACTGCCTGGTGGTGAAGAACTCAAGAACTACGTGTACCCTTTGGGGCCACTGCCTCGGTTGACACAGAGGAGCCAGCAGTTTGACCTGCCATTGCTCCTACCCCATCAGTCAAATGACAGCGCAGTGAAAGAGGTGAATCACATCTCAGCGCTGCTATGAAATCTATTTTGACCTCATGGGCACCTAAAATGGTCTTGCGGACCCCCCAAGAGGCCACACTGTGAAAACCACTGTTCTACATAAATCATAAAATAAAATCACAAACAGCAGGAAGTCATCCCCTTTAAGAGTGGTTACTGGCAAGAATTTTAAAAAGGAGGGGGGAGACCCCAAGGACTGTGGTCTAATTCCCTCATGTTTCAGAGGGGGTAACTGAGAATCAGGGGGAGCTGGGAGGCTAAGCGGCTTGCCCCAGGTTTTCAGGCATGTCAGACACGGGGGTCAAGAGCCCATTAGCTGCTCTCTCCACCACTAGATACAGCTAATTTAACAGCACCTCTGACACAGGCAGAGCTGAGAGATCTTCAGGATCATATATGGGAGACATGTGCCTCTGAATTCCAGGGGGCGAAATGCTACTCATCCCAAATGACCATGGATAGGCTGCTGTTCACTTTTTACGTAAAAACAACGAAACTAATGAACTGACTTCCAGTTTTAGCTCCTGAACATGTAAAGAGCTTGGAAGTCATCACTCCTGCTCCTGTAAGAAGAAAACGCTGAACAAATGCAAAATCAATGACTTGCCTTGGACTCGCCCACCAGTGAACAGACATCACAGCGCAAACCACCACAAAGTCAGGAGTGAAAAACAAATTCAGGGTCACCGCTGAGATCTGCGTACCTGGAGCAGAAGCTGCTGGAGCCATAAACTGGTAGGAACACTTCAATGGTAATTTTGGCGAGTTACCTGAGGCTGTGTGTGGACTGGCCTGACAGTGAGGGTCACAGTCTTAGGAAGCACCCCACCCCCACCCGCCACATTCTCTCCGTTTTACTTTCAGGAACCCCACCAGGCTGTCACAGTGAATAGCTAATAAAACCCCCCTGGTGGCTCTGGCAAGGGAGGAGGGTTAAGAATAATCATGTGATCTACACCCAGAACCTTCTCCATAACAAAGGCCTGTTTCTCTAAGGGTAAAGACTTCACCAGAGTCTTACCCCACCTGGAGAGAGAACGGTTCTCTGACTCCAGCATCCAAAGTCTAACTGTCTCACCAAGCTGTGTGAGGGGGGAGGAGGGGGACCGAGAAGCCCAAAGTCAAGAGGGGCGACAAGACCGAGGACGCAGGAGGGACTGAAGTCTCCAGCACCTACAGCTCCAGCAGACATGGCATGCAGCCCAGCTCCTGGCCAGGTTCACACAGAACCTGACATTTAAAGGCCTATTTACCTCCGTTCCTCTTACCTGATCCATCCTGTCTGGCTTCAATAAAAAGTTACAAGACATGCTAAAAGGCAAGAAAAAAACAACAGCTGGGAGAGACAAAGCAAGCATCGGAACAGACTCAGCTATGACACAGATGTTGGAATTATCAGACAGGCAATTTAACTTATGATTGCTCTGTTAAAACTGACGAAGCTGGTAGATGGTAGCAGTAAAATCTTGCCTCTCTAATGCCTTGATGAAGTAGCAGCCCTGCAGAGGTGGATTGCACACAGTGAGTATAGACGTGCAGGTCCCCGGCAAAGGGAGGACTGGGTGACAAGCCGACCCCTCCAACAGCTTTTCACCTTGCTGCTTGTCCGAGTCTTGGATTCCACTTTGCCTTCTGAACGTTTCCTTCTTGTGCAGAAGGAGTAACAAGCCTTACAATCAAAGGATTTCCTAGGCAGGCAGCACAACACGGCACCTGTTCTGCAAGCAGGCCAGCCGATCAGACGTGGAAGCAGCGTCCTTTCAAGTGGCACTCTCCAGCAGGGAGCCATCTCATTTTCCGCCCTCTCCACTCTGTTCTCTAAAACCCTCCTCTGACTTCCAGACCCTTGCACACGAGGAACTATAATTACCATAGATTTTCAGGCCTAAGGCCTTCTCCTGCAAAGGTGGCTGGCTGAAGAAAGCCCGTCCCTACCACAGGCATAATCTGTGCCTGAGAATTCAGAAGTGGGCTTTCCCCCCAAACTTAAGTTCTTCTCTACTTATCTCCAAACAAAATTCCAGGCATGCAGGTCATTAAAATCCCTTCTGTACCCCCCGTGGGTTTAAAAGCTCTTGCTACTCCATGCCCGAGGTTCAGCTTTCTTGTGGAATTTCTCCCTTAAAAGATTTTTCATTCTGGATTAACTCCCTCGTCCATACAGTGAGTAGGGGAGTTTACATATGGCACAGGGGAGGGTAAAGGGAACAACAGTCCACCGAGCTGAAAACTAGGAGGCTGGGGGAGAGTAAGAATCTAAGGGATTCACTCTATTGGTAGCAAGCCATGCCTTGCTGTTCGTCCACTCTCATTTAAAATTATTTTATTTTAAAAAACATATATGGCACTTAAAACGTGCCAGGTGCTGTTTTAAGCACATTACAAACATTAACTCATTTAACCCACGCAACAAGCCTGTAAGATAGACATAATTATCCTAACGCTCCCATGAGGACACTGGGGCAGGGCAGTTGGGTAACCTGCCCAAGGTCACAGGTGACAGGTGGCAGAGCAGGGACGTGAACTTGGGCAGCCTAGCTCTAGTCGATGCCCTTACCTGCTGAGCAAAATATTTAACAGAAGGGGCTGAGGCAGTCACACTAATTTAACCAGGAGTCTCAAGTGAGAAATTAAAACAAAAATGAAAGCAACAACAAAAAGATACTCAGAATGTAGAAAGAGTAAGAGACACTTCACAGGCTTTTTCCAGGACAGAATCCTAACCTGAAGTTTAAGAGTAATATTCTCTCTCATACGCCAACACCCCTCCCAGTCTATGAATGAAGACTGCTAGAGAATTTGCTGAGAGGACCAGCACTTGCAAGGTCGCAGCACACTTTTCGCTAGACGCGGCCTGGACCTGAAGAGTCAGAGCGAGCTGGCGAGGAAACACCGCACAGGACATCCCCTGTCTCTCGGTATGTCGTGTGTCTTAAAAACTTTCTTCAAGGGATCACCTACCAGTCAGCCCAAAACCCCGCTCCCGAGGCAGACAGATCTGTGTAGAACACGGGAGCCAACAGGCACTTGTAGCCATCTAAATTTCAATTAATACAGATAAATTAACAACTCAGTTCCTCAGTGGCCTTAAGCACATACCACGTGTACAACAGCCACACGGGGCCAGGGCTAGTAGCTACCACACGGGACAGCACTGACAGGCCATTTCCGTCGCCACACACAGGCCAACTGGACAGCCTAAGTTGGATCCCGAGGGCGATTTCTTTTTAGGCTTTGGTCTGCAGACACACAGTGGTAACAATGCCATCTTTTCCTTTTCATAAGCACACCAAATCCAAATTACACTGCATTTGTTCCTAAGATTTCTACTCCCGAGTTCAGTTCTAAGCAGGAGAGTAGATTATTTACAGGGTCAAGTCAACTCCTTACCCCTCAGTACCCGGTACCCACGGTGTATTTGTTCTTCCCTGATAACGACGGAAAGGGAAAAAGCAGGCAAGGAAAAGGGAATTCATGAAAGAGTGCAGCAGAGGGCGAAATCAAGCATTTCGTTTATCGACTTGAGCCTCGGGCTGGATGCTGAGCTCTGAAGACACACCTCGACTAGCTGCGGAGGAAGCCTGACAAGGGAGGGTGGCTATATCCACACACAGACCAATATCCTTACCAGAAAAACAATGCAAACGTGCACCGCCACGCAAGGCGGGTCACACATTTCCAGGCTTTCAGAAGAAGTGCCCACACCAAAACAGGTCAGAAGTGGAAGCCACGAGGGCCGGGACAGGAGTGCCAAATCGCCCACTGATGACAAATCTCGTCTTACAACAACTTCTGGCAACTGTAACCTGCGTTACTAGGATCCCTCGCTCAGGAACAACTGCTGTTCATCTCATGTGGGGTCACATACCGGGAAGCCAGAAAAGCAACAGTAAGACGTGGAGCTACAGCTTAGCACTAAAGCACCCATTCTAGAACACTTCCACAGCTATGGAACCTAAAGTCCAACGCTCTCCTTCTAATTCTTCAATCAGAAGTCCATGAAAGCCCGAATGACTATGTGTATGACCAGTAAGAACTGTCTTGTTCTAACAGAGATCTTTGTGAATTTAACAATTTCTCCTTTCTCTCAGCCTATCTATCCCTATCATTTTCAGTAACACAATTGAATTTGTATGAAATCTTGTGATGTAGAGCTTTCTTTTTATTTCAGATGAATGAGGCATGACTCATATTATTAATAACTTACTAATAAGCAGGGCTGATGGGAATCATTAGCATCTCCTCATTTTAAGTTGTAAACACATCTGAAACACCCCCCCAGAAGATGAAAATTTCTTAAAAATGCAGTAAGAGTAATAATTAAATTACATACTTGTGACTTCTTGTAAGAAATCCAAACACGGTCGACTACTTCCAGAAATACTTATTGAAACAGCCAATGGGGTCTGTCCTTCATAGTTCCTTGTGTTTGTGTCCGCTCCATAGTTATATAACATCCGTGCACAAAGCACATCATCCCTAAGGGCAGACAAATGCAAAGGAGTCTGTCCATCTTCTAAGCGACCCAAGTTTGTGTCTGCTCCTCTCTGAAGGAACATTCGGCAATAAGAGTGATTGCTTTTGATCACAGCGTATCGCAAGAGGAAACCGTTCTGGATGTCGATGTTGGCATTGTGGTCCAGGAGGATCTTCACGCAGCTTGACCTCTCTCGGATGATGGCGAGCTGAAGGGGGGTGGTGCCTTTATCGCTGAGCGGGTCGACCTCAGCCTTGAACTCCAGTAGGAGTCGGACAAATGAGTCCCTACCATAGTGAGCAGCCACATGGAGGGGAGTCCAGCCATCATTGCTTTTGGCGTTAATAATGTCGCTCCTGTATTCAGATTCTAACATCAGGCGTGCAATCCGGGCCCGGCCGTGCATGGCTGCGTAATGAAGAGCAGTGAAGCCTCCGATCAAGTCCTTAACTGTCGGATCGGCTAGGGTTAAAACCAAAATGAAAACATTAGCAGACTCGAAGACAAAACAATGAACTCTACCACGGCACAGAGCATTTAAGCCCATTCCCAGGGGAAAAAAAAATGTGAAATGACTGGAGATTATAATGGACATCAAGTACTTCTTTCTCAGTTTAACTGAAGCATAGTTTTCACAGAAAATAAATTTTGGTAGAAAGTCATCAAACCTGGGTTAACAGGATAAAAATGACCTACAGAGTATTTAAAAGATAGGCAAAAACAGAGCGTTCAGATTGCCACAGCCCCTCTCGGTCTTAATTTAACCAACTGCTTTTGGCTACTCGGCTCTCTCATCTCTGAATTGTTTCATGTTTCTCTTCAGTTTTGAACTTTTTGTTTTCTCTTGTGCTTCTTGGTCTTAAAGAGAAGCATGTGTAGCAACATCTGCTGCTCTAAAGGACGGATGTACTGTGGTCTGGCAGGCTGTGTTGTTTTAGGGTGTATTAGGTAGAAAAAACAAAAAACAAAAAAAAAAACTTCTGTGGTCTGTAAAAAGTCCAAAGCATGTAAGATATATGTTAAGTGATCTTGATAAATCATGTTTTCTTAAGATAAGAGACTCTTCTGTGGATTCTTAGTTTTACAAGAATTTTGGAGTTTCTAAGAATTAAGTAGCACGTTGTGTGAAAAATTGGGAGAAACCTCAGCCCTGTATAAATATTTTCTATAGCAGTTCCAAAATGCTCTCCTAAATGGACTGGTTTCTGGAAAGAAAGAGTGAAAGGAGGAAAGAGAAGCGACAATTGGCTATGTGACTCTTCATCACAAACTTTTGTCACCTGCCCCGATCTTCCCTGAAGCCAAGGGTCAGTTCTGTGTGGCTCTCATCCCACTCGCCTTCCTGGGCAGTGGGGAGAAAAGGGGCAAGAAGTGCTCCCTCCTGTTATGTAGGTCACATCCTGGGGGGCCCACAATCTCTCAGGTGAAAATAAACTGGTCAGGCCTAACTACCTGTAGGATTAAAATGCTCTCTTCTTATAAAAGTCACCCTTAATTTCTGATTTATTCATGAAAGACAGAAATTCATGAGTGTTTTCCAAACAGAAAGCCTCCAAAGTTATAGGATTAAAACACTCCTATATTGTTTACTGAAACGTTATTTAGTTCTAAACTATGTGATGACAGCTGGGTCCCTTAGAAAAATCTGAGGCAGAAAACTCCATATAAAATATTAATAATACTATGGAGAATAAAAACTACAATTAAGTAGTAGTTGCTAACAACAACAAAAAGATACAGTACCTATACACTGTGCAACTTAAAAAAAAAAAAGCAAGCAAGAATGTTTAAACAAAGCATTTTGCTGCCATCTACTGGTAAGGCACGAACTTGAGCGACAAATGTTTTCACTTTGACAGCTTATGCTGAGCCCTCAAGTCTCGGACACCCACCTCCCTTACATATGGAGACTAAGGCATGAAATCTAAAAGAACCCCTTCTATTCAAATGAAACAACAAATCTTGCCAAGACTTCCATTTCTAATCTATACCTGACCAATCAGCTGCTTCTTTCTTAATCTGTGGGGTTTAAGAATACCTTCTTTCATTTCTCCCACCTTTGAATCCACCAGGGCTGTCTTTAAAGGTGCCAGCAAACAGTCTTACGCGCATCCTATACTCGCTCCATTTGACAGTTAAGACTGAAATTATGTTACATGCAATTGCACCAGCATCTTTGGTTTTCACTTTAGGCCTTTTTTAGGTGCTACTTGCATTTTGGTGCTATACTGAGCTGGGAAAAACAAAGATTAACAGATACAACAGGGATCTGCTTAGTCGCAGTAAAAACCATGAATACGCAGTAACCGAGGACATGCTGGAAACACAGCAGAGAGGTAGAGCTATAAATTAACAATGCATAAAAAGTGTATGTATACTTACTGTCCTCAAGGCATTAACAAATAGGAGACAAAAGACAAATGAAGATGAAAACGATTAATTTAAGGATTCTTATAGCTAATGCAACAGATAAGGAAAAGATCTCATTTGTAATTAGTAACAGAAACTGCAAAACGCCTGGATATAAAGAGATGCATGAGGCACATGTGAAGACACTTCTTTGACTGAACTGAATTCACTTCATCTGTATCTGCTCAAATGTCCCTTCATCAGAAGAGCTTCCCCTGAACACTACTAGCAGTCCCAGCCACCTCATTACTTTGTCCTTTTAGCTCCCTTCTGCCTACTTGCAGGTGCAACTTACTTTACACAAGTTATAGTATACTTTCAAAAAATCCATTTAAACCTACTGAAAAATTTTAAAGTATATATAAATAAAAGAAGTATTTCCTACCAATATGATTTTCTTCCAACTGCTTTAGTGAGGTACAATAAAATTCACCCGTTTTGAGTGTAGAGGTTGATGAACTCTGACGAACTATAGACAGCCAGGTAACCACCACCACAATCAACATACTCCCATCATCTCCGAAAGTTCCTTCCTGCCTCTTTACAGTCAATTCCTTGCCCAGACTGTAGGTCCCAGGCAACCACTACAGTTTTGCCCTTCTAGAATGCCATGTAAGTGAAATCATAGAGTATGTAGACTTTTGTGTTTGACTGATTTCACTTAGCATGACGTTTCTGAAATTCACCCATGTTGTTGGTGTGTATGTATCAAAAGTTCATTCCTTTGTATTGCTAAATAGTATTACCTAATATGTATATACATTTATTTATGGATTCACCAGCAGATAGATAACTGCGTTATTTCCAGTTTGAGGCTATTATGAATGAGGCTGCTGGGAACATTCACATACAAATCTGTATTTTTCATTTCATTTGGGTAGATACCTAGGAAAGAAGTGCTGGGTCACATGTTAAGTGTACATTTAACTTCCCAAGAAATTGCCACACTGTTTTTCTAAGTGGCTATACAATATTATGTTCTCTCACCAGCAACACTGTATGAGAGTTACAGTTCTACATCTTCATTAATACCTGGCATCGTCAATAATTTTAATTTTACTGCTCCAGAGAGTATAAAGTAGTAACTTACTGAGGTTTTAATTTATATTACCCTGATGACTAGTGATATTGGGCTTATTCATGTATTTTCTTTTGTCAAGTGTCTGTTGAAATTGCTCACTCATTTTTACTACATTGTTTTTCCCATTACTGAGTTTACAATTCAATTGTGTATATATTCTGGATACAAGTCTTTGTCAGCTACGTTTTGTAAATATTTTCTCCTGGTCTCCTGATTGCCTTTTCATTTTCCTTTTTTTGAAGAGCAAAATGTTTAAATGTTGAGGAAGTCAACTCATTTGTGTCTTTTATTGCTTGTGCTTTTTGTATCCCATTTAAGAAATCTTTGCCCAACACAATGTCACCTAGAATTTGTGTTTTCTTCTAGAAGTTTTATTTTTAACTCTTACATTTAGGATAATGACTTATTGCTAGTTGATTTCTGTGTAAAGTGAGATCAGATCAAGGTTCATTATTCCATAGGATATCTAGTTGCCCAGCATAATTTGTTGTGAAGACTACCTTTTTCCCAATGATTTATCCCTGTGCCACGGTCGAAAACCAAATTTACTATACAAGTGTGGGTCTATTTCCAAACTCTGTTCTAGTCTATTGACCGAAAAGTGTATCCATACACCAATACTGGATCGTCCTGATTACTGCAGCTTTACAGAAAGTCTCGATAGCAGGTAGTACGTATCCTCAAGCCTTTTAAAAAACTATTTTGTCCAATAAATTTTAGAATCAACTTGTCATTTTCTTCAAACAAGCCTATGGGATTTTTTTTTTTAATTTTATTTATTTATTTGAGAGAATGAGAGAGAGAGAGAGAGCGAGCATGAGAGGGGTTTGGGTCAGAGGGAGAAGCAGACTCCCTGCCGAGCAGGGAGCCCGATGCGGGACTCGATCCCGGGACTCCAGGATCATGACCTGAGCCGAAGGCAGCCGCTTAACCAACTGAGCCACCCAGGCGCCCAAGCCTATGGGATTTTGATTGGAACTCCATCGACTCAAAAAATGGAAACCATCCCCAAATACTCTAAATAATATTGATTCTTCCAAACATGAACAAAGAATATCTATTTAGGTCTTCTTTAATTTCCCTCAGCAATGTTTTGTACTTCTCAATTTAAAGGGCTTGCACATCTATCATTATATTACTAAGTATTTTAAATATTTAATCTTAAATATTTTAAGTTTTGTTGGTATAATAACGAATTGTTTTAAAATTTTATTTTCCAGTTGTTAACTGCTGATACAGAGAAATAAAGCTGATTGTATACTGAGCTGTGTAAATTAACTAAATTCACATTTTTGTTCAAGCACATTTTTGTAGATTTCTTATGCTAGTCTATATACACAATTACGTTCTCTGCTAATAGAGCTTCACTTTCTTTCCAATCCTGACAGGACTTTTACTTAAACAAGTGTTAAATAAAAATGGTAAAAGCACATACTCTTGCCTTGTTCCCGATCTCAGAGGAAAAGCGTTCGGCAGTTCACCATTTACTATGATGCACATAGTAGTTCTTCCTAGGTACCTTTCCTTAGGTTTTGGAAGTTATCTTATGCTTCTGGTTTGCTGAGTCTTTATGATAAAATGGGTATTTTATAGGGTCACATGCCTTTTCTGCATCTACTGAAATTATCACTTGGTATTTATACTTTTATTCCATTAATAATGTAAATTACCATGTTGATTTTCAAATCTTAAACCCTGCACTCCTGGGGTAAACAGTACTTGGCCATGATATAATATTCTTTTTTTGTACACTGATGGATTAGATTTGCTGGTATTCTGTCAAGGATTTTTGTATCTATCATCACGAAGGATACTGGTATGTAGTTTTCATTTCTTTCAATGTCTATTTGGTTTTGTATCAGGGCACTGCAAGCCTTACGCAGTTACACAACCAAAGAGTTTGGGTAGTGCTGTTACTGTTTATTCTTTCAACATTTGAAATAATACAAGAGAGAAGGCAGCTGGGCCTAAA